CCATTCTTTGCTTCATTTTCCCGCCCCTGATGATCGTCCCCGACATGTTTCGTTAAGCCGATTTAAGAGCCCGGTTCTTTCCCGGAACTTTTACGACCAATAAACCGGAAAGATTTCTTGGCCGTTTTGTAAGTAGTTCGGTGAAGGCAATAACTTGCATAAAAAACCTGGTCCTTGAACGCCAAGAATTCCTCAGAAGACTTATTTTAAAACGACTTTTGTTTTTGTCGTGGCTCGGCATGGTAATTTGACAAGAAGTAGTTGGATGGAACCGAAAAACGAACTATTCATGTATAGGCCTGCAGGATGTAAAGATTTATACTGAATACAATATATACTGTTCGGCGTTGAAAAAATTGTCATCATTTACATTAATTTATCTACGTTATGTTTATTTTAGGCATTAAAAGCAAAGATTTAATCAACGAATTAATCACGATTTTATAATTGTGTATTACCTATATAATTATAGGGAATGAGACAAACCAAAAATTTTACCGGCATGATTTTCATATAAATACTAGGCGGAACTCAACCGTGAGTCCGATAGGTGGTGATCTTCACAGGACTTAACGAAAGCTGTCTTTTGTTAAATATCGATGTCTCTAATGTCATTTCGTTCGATGCTTCTAAATAATTCAAGTTCTAAATTATTCTCTCGCCCGAGCTTGCGCGTTTTTTGCATGTAAAACATGTCAATCACCATTTGAAACGTAAAATTTCAGTGTACGGAATTAATACTTCAGTGAAAACGTATTATTTATATTATGGTGAAATGTCTCAGTGTCGGAAGCTTCCTGCGCACAACCTTTGGAAAATGTCATGCCTCAAAATGTTATTGAAGCTGAAAAATGTGATGATTTTCATCATAAAGTAATGTTCAGTAAGAATTGGCGTAGAGCGCCAGAAACTGTGCTGCTTCCTAAATTGAAAATACAACAAAAAACGTTCTTTCCTTCGAACTGTGTGGATTAAACTTGTGCGCCAAAATTCATTAACGTGGATTTTGCGACGTGACTTTTCTGGTTCCAGGGCATGAATTCCACCGCCAGGACTCCTTAGTGATATTCAAATATGTATATTTTCTGCACCAATTAAAATTGGTCAAAATATTCACTAGTTGTTATGCTACATGTGATTGAAAACCCGAAAGTTGCCCATGCCACCAGCTTCTAATGCAACATTCAAAGTATCGAACTGAAACTTTTTACACTCATGGGGGTTCGTATGAGTAACAATTTTATATTTATCCGAAACGTTGGTGTAATAATGAAGTGCTGAGTGTGCAATATGGTTTGCAAGAACATTTTCACAAACCACATTCGGTATGTGATTTATTGTGGTCTTCTTCTTCTATTATTTTGCAGCGTTAAATATGCCGTAATCTCCTATTAATCCTTCGCAATTCTTTTTCAAGTTTATCGAGTACACTGATCTACAATGTTTACAGTTCTCGTATGATTTTCATGAATACGGTGATATTACCAAAGGTGAAATTCACATGCTAAATTGTCATTTAGTTTGAACTAAAAATATAGTATTACTTAGGTAAGGCGATGAACATTGTTTCGTTTCGTCAACTGGGAGGGAAATTTGATTTCAGAGAAGATGATCATCAGGAGTGATATTAGATGCCATTACTAGTAGCACTGTTGCTACTTCACAGGACGCAACACTTAAATCGCACCACGACCGCTGCCAACGTAGGTTCAGGGCGGCGGTTTCACGCCGACTGAAGCTTCGTGAGCACGACTCTGGTGTCGGTGGCTAGGTTCTCCTGTCGTCCGACCGACGTCCTCGGTCGGCCCCAAATCGATATCCGACAGCAGAAGTAAGATCCTGCCTGCAACAGGCGGCTGCTGCGACTGCTGCTGCTACTCGTGATTGGCAAGAACTCTCATAGGATCAATCTCTGGTAAGGCAGGGCTTCGCTCCTGATTGATCACACGTGATAGTGAGCCAAGCATCTCCCTCCGTCCAATGTGCTTCAGCGTAAACAAGTCAGAGTGACAATTTCAAGGTTGCTAGTTAGAACTTGAGGCCAAATATCTCACATTTTTTGAATCAAATATTTAGAATCCATGTTAAGCGGCTGCGGCAGATCCCAATTACTTCATCTTATTCGAACAGCAAGGGATAATATTCACGACGTAGTTCAAAATGGATCGTTAAACCGGCAAACGGAGGAGATCAAATCCATTTCTGTGTTGACTTCTTATGATGTATTCTAAATATTTTTCAATCGAGCTCATACAGATACTTTCTATAAACAATGCAATTGCAGCAAGGTACTCACCCGAAGTTCGTAGACCAAACCCGTACTATGATTTAGATTGAAGCATAGCGTTCAGCGTTGTATAAAGTCTACGGGCTTTCATCCCAGCATTTAGTTATCTGCTTGCATTTAAAAATAACTCTAAAATTAGGCTTAATCCTAAGGATAGTATACGTAAGGAAATTAAACTGATGTTATATTTTGGCGTGAGTACAAACCTCATCTATTTGGTGCAGGATTTCTGCCCGCGGCTCTGCGGTAAGTTTATGGCAGAACATCATGTCTTCATTATAACAACTAATTTTAAAACGTTATTGATATACTCTGTTGATATATACTGTAAGTTGGCTGATTATAAATAAATTGAATCCAGCTTTAAAAGCAGTATTAAGGTTAAAATCATAAGACAGCTGGTAATTTGCGCTCTGCATACATGAATGAAAAAGTCAGGTTTAACTTGAAGATTATTGTCCCTATCAACGTTTATTTGAAGATAAGTCCTCATACTAATCAATGCTATTATAATTTAGAAAGAAAAAATAAACAAAATTTCTTCAGGATAGAATTCAGGATATCAAGCAAAAAGAACCAACGAATTAAGTCGATGTAATCCCATCATGATTAATTTGTTCAATTCCGGATTATCAGCCGTGGATTCAGTCATTGACTTTATTTACATATCTTGCTTTATACGGCAATAAAATACTTTAATTTATAAGAGTAACATTATTACTACCTCATATAATAATAACATAATTAGAATTCATAAAGAATCGTATGAAGACCCACCTTCAAACAAATGTTTACGAACTTAACATGGAAAAGAAGGTCATCAAATTAGGAGCTCTGGCTTTATGATTATTGAAAAATATTGAATGTAACTCAAATTTACGGTCACTAATAGTCATTGCCTCTTTAAACGTATAAAAATTATAAGGATAAAGATATAAAAAATTATAAGGATAAATAAATGGATGGGAATGAAGAAGAAATATATCTAATAAAATAAATGCTCAAATACTCGGTCTTATCCCATTTTTAGATTTACAAGTCCACGGTTACGAATAAATCACAGCTTCATTTTTACACACTTTAAATTTAAGTTGCTCTTGAAATAAACCGTTTAAAATTATGCAAACAATTGTGACATGTATATAAGCGAAGTTTTAAAACGTTGCTTAATCGCATATTGAGATAGTTTCATGAAAAATATAAAGAGAAAAAAATTAATCGAATACGATTGCTTAGCAACCAAGCTTTTTGGCGCACATTTGTTTGCCTAATCTTATGACAGCGGATAACGAATCATGCGTCATTCTGTTCCATTATAAAACTACTGTAATTCAACATTGTTTTAAATTGACGCAATTTCCTTGCTTCAGCTCCAGTTCGATTAAAAATGTTGCTTACAGTCACTCAAAGTACTGTGACGAAATTCTAGGATCGACTAAACCCAAATTGAATTATAAGTTGAGATTTCGTTTTATGTATCAGTCATTCATCAATTCCGCTCGTCAGTATACCCATTGAGGCGAACGCACGTCGCGTGGAAAAATATGTGGACTATTTTTGTTTCCACACTGCGAAAATTCCGCGGCAATTTCTGATGCTACTCCCGTAGAGGCAATCTAATTGGCATGGCTTGTTGGAGACACTGTGTTTAATGGCGTCTCTAATGACATGCTCCGGACCGGTTGATTAAGAGAGGCTCAATCTGGCACTGATTTTACCGTATTCAGTTTTGCCGAAAGCTTCCTCCGGAGTGCAACAAGGCCACTGGCCCAATCAGCGAATGCATTTATGTCTCTCCGAGCTCGTAGATTAGAAACTACAGACAAGCGTTGGAAAAAGAAGACGAATGCGTTTGACAGAAGTTATTGCTTCGTGTAAAGTGATATGTGAATAAAAATGGTACTATGATTAATGATGGTACTATGATGTTTTAAAATTTTACTCGAATTTCAGTTGAATTTGCATATACCATATTAGTAAATTACACTACAAAAAGGTTTGGTTAATAAGATACCAGTACTGAGAGCTCGAATTATGAAGATTTTTTTTTGTATCGTTGGGGATTACGAAATAAACAATAATTGACGCTCATGGAAAAACGATTTTGTGGAACATTAAATTATTTCCATTTATTAAGTCTCGGGATTCATGCATATTTTTGAGTCGGATAGTAAAGATTATGTAATTTTTCTGTTAACTTTAGTGACAGAATTGAGAAAAACCTGTGGATGTTTTATTATGAATTACAAAATTTTTACGAAGCTATGAAACGGAATGTCTAAAGTTTTTTAATCTTGCAAAACCCTTGTAACATAATTCAAGTCGTAGAAAACAAATACTACACGATTTTATTCTGCGTCAGAAAGGATGATAATTGAAACAAATTCATCCAGTAATTTTATTATTGGTTTGCTACCTCGGACTGCGAAGTTTTTATAAACCGGTTGATAATTGAAGCAGAAAATAATTTAAACAATTTACGTGATATATACTCGGAATAATTTCTTTTTGAGGCCACTAATCGTTTTATGCCTTCGATTCTCAGGTACTATATTCGCTATCTTAAAGACTTTCTATGAATCAAATTTTTCAGAAACGTTTCTCCGAATAAAGATTCGTTATTTTGCTGCACTAAGACATTTTAATTTTCAAGATTCACAGCGTTAATAGATCTCCGAATGAAAGAGTTTCATGTCAAGAGAGAATCACTTTCAAACATTGGTTCAATATATTACACATGTGGATCATTTGAATTACTGCAAATAGTAATGCTAATGTACTCCTATTTGTATTTACATTTTAGATGTACTCATTTATTTATTTATCTATATATTTAGGCATTTCTCCTAAGGTACACCACAACCTGAAGCAAGACAGTAAAATATTAACGAAAAAAGACCTTCACTCTCGGGTCTTGAAAGAAAAGATGTCACTAGCTGAAAAATCCGGTCATAAGAAAAAATTAGGCTTCGTAAACGTCAGTGAATTCTTAGGAACAGACTGCAATTTCAGTTGTTTTATAACAATTAAGCCAAATCAAACTCAGAGTTGATACAATCCAGCTTTATCGTTGAATAAAAACAGGGTAGTTGAGCAAGTCTTCCGTGGGGGTTCTTCGAAAAGTTCAACTTACAGTATTTCGTTTCATGAACTTATGGCAGGTTTTTCTCAGAAAGTCTGGATTAGCATTTCATTTTTGCTGCATTTTATGAATTGCGCTCACTGAATTACTTCTGACGAATCATCATTAAAATATTTTTAAAAGTCGTAAACAATAAGTAAAATAATCAATGTTGCCAATTGAATAACCATCTCCCTGCTGACTCGATCAGCCATGCTAATGAGTTCGAATCGCGCCTTTTTCTTGCAATATATGAAGATTTTTTTACACCGTTGAAAATTCACATGACAGTAAATCTTGTTTACTTTATTCTTGCACTAGTGGTTAGGTCTGAACACTGGAACTAATTATTTAAGTTTATGACTTATATCAATGATATATCATGTTGAATCATTGGCTGATTAATGGTTTTGATTTACCATTGATTTTCAACGGCTTTCCATTGATTTTCAATGGTTCATTATTGATTATCAATGGTACCACAGAACTTAAACCAATGTCTAATGCGCATCATTTGAAGTGGTGTAACAATCAAACCAATGAATTAAATTTAAGTCTAATTTAATTTTTCGTTTCTGCCTATGTCATAGCACATAATTTCGAATTAAATTATATGATCACAATTATTATTCTTCCTTAATGATTATTTAACTCTTGATTGTTACAATCTTCAAACTGACGTAAGTACTTCGTCAGTTTTTTTCTCTCTTAGTGCATCCGGTTCACAGCCGTTTAAATAGGAACAATAACTATTTAAACGTCTCGAACGTAAAATTTCCTTTCGTGAAATTGTAACACAATATTTTACTTCAGCTCCTTTAGGTCAAAACTACGCATGAATAACACAAAAAAGTAGCTCTTGTATTCATCGATGAGTTATTTTAAATTTTCTGAAATTACTTCGTAACGATCCAAAAAAAATAAAATTTTGTTTCATGTTTGATCGTTAGCAGTTATTGTCATGAGATTCATTTTATTTTGGTGTTGTTCCATCAATAAGGAAGTCTCACTCACAGAAAAATTGTCACTCTGATCATACAAAGAATTTTCTTGACTAAACTCTACACTGGCATTATACTGAGAATGCAAGCAGCCTGAATCGTCATTACATCCTTGGTATTGTTGGAACTGAACCGTGTATTGATCTGGAAAGTTATTAGCAAACCTTGTTTCATCAATTCCTTCTGATCTCATGGCCATATTTGCGCAAGAACTTGCGATAGACATTTTGCAAGCAGTGCTCTGTTTTAAGGGCGATTCAATTTCTATGTTACGTTTAGGATCGCGCTTTACTTTATGCTTGGAATCGTCTTCTGAAATTTTTGAGATAGTAATGGTTTTCTGTCTTGTTTTATGAACTTGATTTTGAAGCAGACTATCGTTTTTACAAGACGATGAAGTGACAGGGTTTATGGACTCGACGATGAGGGAGAGGCAGTCCAGGCTCGACGTCACCAGGCCGCTACCCTGCAGCAGGTCGCCTGCCACTCGAGGGAGACGACTTGCGCAGGCTCCTCCATCTAAAAACAATTTTATTATTTAGTGTGAAAATATCGTATTTACTGATAAATAAAGATAAAATAATTTATAGCCCAGTTGCAATTAAGTTTCGTTTACGAGTTGTCATTAATATACAATAATTAATATCAGAGATTTTAATTTGTGACCATAATATCCGAATTTGAGTAATTTCGAATCCAACTATACACTTTACATTATGATATAAATGACAGTCAGCAACACAGTTGGATGATATCTTGGTCGGAATATTCATTTCCGCTCAAAAAGATGAATAATATAAAGCAAATGAAATACCACTTGACTTTTGCTGGTAATATTTTCACTTTAACTTATATAATCACTGTATAATTTATTTTCGGTCGTATATGTTTAAGGATTTATGATATACACAGGAAAACTTATACAACGAATATGTAATAGTTCGAGGTATCCTTAATATCATTTTATCTAATTATTAATAACTTAAATTGGTAAAGAGGAACACACGAATTTAATTAATTGAAAACTGGATATATTCATAATTTATTCGGTTTCATAAGTCTAAGTTTTGTGACCGCTAGGAATTTGTGCAGCTATTTTTCATTCTCCTTTAGGTTTTAAAAGGAACCGAACTGTGGTTGTAAAAACACGCTAAAAACATTTGTAATGGGACTGTTTCAATTATTTTTCACGATATTAGTTTTGCCACTACCGACAGTTTATACTGAATAAATGAATTGATTTACCCATAGGCTGAGTGTAGCTGGCTGAGTTGGGATCGTTGATGAGGTTATCAGTGTGGCCGCTGCCTGGCACGTCCTGTAATAAAAAACTGCGTTTAATACTCTGGTTGAGGATATAGGAATAATATTAATAGCTTACATAAAAATCTTAATGTTCCTTTAATACCTATACATATTCTTTAATACTTGGTATGCTAGTATGATAAGTGTTATTGCAGGTACTCTTGTGTGGTGTACCAGTACAGGTACTCTTGTGTGGTGTACCAGTACAGGTACGCTTGTGTGGTGTACCAGTACAGGTACACTTGTGTGGTGTACCAGTACAGGTACGCCTGTGTGGTGTAATCGTGCAGGTGTAGGTTCACTTTCAGGTTTTATGTGTCGTAATATGATTAGAGTTCCTAGTGTGCACCCTCAGGGAGTGAAAATATTGTGAATATTAGGATGTTGCAAATTAAAAATAATTCTAGCTTATCACTCTAATTTTTCTATAAGAACGCTCAAAGAAATTTGTTATGATCTTATTTCTGATAACCCCCAAACAATTTTCTTACACATCCAGCATAGAACACAGGCTATAATTGCATAGAATGAAAGACTTGTTCAGAGAAACAATAGGTACTCAGCCAAACCATAACTCTACGAAATGACATTAGCACGGAAGTACATTTGCCAGCAGTCGCTAGTGTGTCATAACTCATAATCTATCCTGACGTGAAACTCAGTCCTGGAATGCAACCCCGGCATTCTTGGTCTACTCTTCGACTCATTCTCAAGCAATTGTATTCTCAAGCAACTGTATCGGTGATTTATGTAAGTTTCAATGTCGTTATGTTAGTGTAGGGTAATATTTGTATTTTTATTTTCTCGGAAAAATCTTCCTTAATTAGTATAATCTACCTCGATTTATAACTCTTACGGAACAAAGAAAATTGATTAATATATTTGGATCGATGTGAGGAATAATTCTACCCATGCATTACTCATCGGGCTCCAATATTCGTAAATTTTTTGTGAAATTAATAATTTTTATGTCCGTGGTATGGGTCTATATTTTTTAATCAAGTTGGTTTACGGTACACAAAGAATTTATTGTTAGGGTGGCAAAATGTGAAGCAAATTTTAAATAAGCTACAACTTATTGCAAGTAATTTCAAGTTTAACCGCGTAACTCTGACGCTAACTTGCCGTCAATATTTCAAAAGATCGTCTTTGAAACTTTTTAGTTCGCTTCTCCCTTCTAATTTGGAGCGTGAAGCACTGAAGAAATGTGCTTCAAATCACCAACTCGCCCAAGAAATGTTTCAGGAAACTTTGTCGTTGTTTGTAAGGCGGATGGCAGAACTCTTACATTTTAAGAAGCATCGTGAGCCTCCCATGCTTATGTGGCCGCTGAGTCACTGGTTGGGAGCACTTGTATTTGATCAAAGTACAAGCGACTAAATTTATAGTTAACAATCGACAGTTTGACATGGGGCTAATTTATGATATTTTTAATTAGATTTATTTCCTCAAACAATCATGAGCATTTTCATACGAATATTGTTATTTACTATATATGTACGTATCAATGATGAATGACTAAGAATACAATGTGTCGTTTGTAAGGAACATTCTCTGCGTTTGGACAGGTTTTATAGCTTGACGCAAATATTCATACTAACCTTTAAAAATTAAGCCACAAATTCTATTATAGTCTTCTCTCAAGCAAGAACCTATAATCTAGCAGCTCAGGTCATGCTATTAATCGTGCTCACCTTCATTTCATAAACATGATAGTGGTCCTGCTAAAATTCAATTTTTTTTATTTCAAACCATGAATGTAGATCAAAATTGAAATCCATAAATACCCAATTTCATGGTCTCCAATTACAGAATGGGTTATTTCAAAAATTGATTACGTTTGTATTGAAGGCAAACTGCTCTTCTCAAATAAGATCAAATCCTCGTACTTTCACAGAATAGGGGCGCGTGAAAGCGATCCAAATCGAGTTGCATGCGTCAATCGCAACGTTTGACGGAACATCGGAAATCGATAGAGAAGTTGCTCGGAATACCTGCCGGTTCTGTAGCATAACTTCTGGTACATCGCTGCACCTGAACACTGAACTAAATGGGCACGCTAACTTCACTCAATCCAACCGAGAAGTTCTTGCACTCCTTTGAGATCTGGTTCGTCACTGCTATTTTATTTCAATAAATATTCGGGTGTTGTTTGTTGACCGGATAACACAATAATTACTGTGCTTTTTCTCTGTTTATCGCACAAAAAATAGAATGGATATATTGTGGCTCTTAGATTGAATTTTCGCGAAGCGGTTGGCACTGTCGTTCTGAAGATAAATTGACTTTTTTGGCCCATGCGATTAATTTCTAAAAACCTGTCGTGTCATGTGTTGATTTGGCAAAAAGCTTGGACAAAAATTACCACACATAAAATAAAACTTTCATGTTCAGTGTGCAAAAAAGAGCATGGACTCCGATTCCGATTGTTGGGAAAGAAAATGAGACATAAAAAATGTGAACAAATTATTTTTCTTTTCCGTGAGCAACTTTTCCGGATTTAGCGTGATTATCGAATATAATCTGAATTGAACTTAAAAACAAAATTTATTGCAGATTAGAGAGCAATTGTAATTGCTGATTGAGAGCAAGACCCATGCAGTAATTGAAGAAAGAGCCGTGAAAGAAAGATGAAAGTTCCATCGCAAAGCACCTCCGGAAATGGGCGCTGGCAAATCCAGAACCCTTCTTCCGCCGAGCCGTGAAGGGGAGACCAGAGGGAACTTCATATATGGCTGCTCCGAGATCGTGACCAAAACAATGCCAGAGGAACCGAAAATATCACTATACTCAAGCACAATTAATGGGCATTGTTGAACTGCTTCTAGGATTCCAATACCTACAATTTTAGTGAGATCAGGAAGCTCAGGACAGTCTGCAAGACAGATCAGGACAGTCAGCAAGACTGTCTGATCTGAGACTCAGGACAGTCTGACAGATCAGGAAGTTCAATATTGACAGTCTACATGCAAATCTTCAATGACTTTCTGAATTTTTGCAGCGAAAGGAATTTCTTAAGTCAACATAGAGTCTGTCCGGTGTCAGTCTGGGGCTTCATCGTATTCATTATAATTATGTTATACGATATGATCATCTGTAATTGAGACGTTATTCTATAAAAGGGCTGGGAACCGTAGAAAAGACCCCGCAGAAGCTGAAGAGTAGTGTAAACAACGTAAACCAACCCCAAACTAACGGTCGACGTTCAAGCCTAGACCTGTATTACAACTCGCTTATATTACCACCCCGAATAAAAATAAGTTCACTAGACAGATGGTGTCTTACTTATCCCTCACGAGCTTAGTCGAGTATCCCGGTCCTCAGGTGACGCTTAATATAGCATCCGGGACAAGTCTATGATTGGGAAATTTTAGTAATTAGCTGAATTGGGTCAGCTAAAAAATGTCAATTACCGGCTTATCTTTGGCAAATAATATCATTGAAAGCAATGCTTATCGTTTTTAGCAATTTCTATTAGGCTTCGAGCTGCAATGGTAGTTCGTTATTCTATAATAATTTATTACATATTTCTTATCCCGTTGTCCTATCCGCGTGGCTTTGAAATTCATTTGCGCCAGTTTCTGCAAGTATCCACATTCCACTCAACAACGTCGGGAGGGTTCAGAAGTTGCTGAAAGTCACGGACTGAGGGAACTTGAGACGAGGCAGCCTCGGGCTCCACTACGTTTTGTCCAGCCTCACAGCAACTACCAAAATGAAACCCAATACAACACAATATTTTATCTCCATAATGCTAGGAAAATAAAGTAATTTTCTATTATTTTATTAAGCCTGTGTCACGGAAGACGTATATCTATGAGTTTATGAGCTCACGAGTGGAGAAAATCGAATCCAAGTTTGAAGCGAGCATCAATTTTGAATTTGTTTTCAATTCGAATCTTTGGCTCCCTCTAGTGTGTTCGAATTCCCAATGAAGTTTAAATTCCGATGAAATAATACCCCTTGGAAACTGTCTTTTTATTGTTCTTATTTCCAATACACGTGCCGACGATAAAATGTGTTCTCAAAACCTTTTGTCGAGCCAACACAAGTTATTTGCTTTTAACTGGCGTTCAGTGTTCGAGGACCCCAATACATTTCACAGCCAACGAATTTTATATCAGCATGAGTTGCAATTGGATATCAATAGACTGAGATGGAGCTTTCAAGGAGATGAAGCAATTATTACTGACGCTAACTTGATTTAACTCCTCTCGAGTTTTTAATGGATTTTAATCGGCACACGGCATTCTGTGCCATGTAGAATTCACGGACTAATTGACGCTAAAAGATGTAGCTCGTTGACTGTCGTGGGTTAGCTTTTTACGACTCTTTCAAGTGTAGCCGAACGGCGACTGCGAATTCGATGGACCCCCACAGTCTTCCTGAATTTCGCTTGTGTTTATAAACACAAACGCGAGATGAACCGCAACTCTTGGCGTCCCCTTGCTTATTTCTCGCCCTCTGCTATCACCGATGCGCTCTAGCGTCATATTTCTAGCGAGGAATTGCTCGACTATGTTTCAGCAGATCATTAAATTATTTTTAGCACGGATGAAGATTTAAGGCAATTTAGTGTCTTTAGATAAGCATTTCATTGCTGTGTCTAATTTTTCTTCCAAATAAAGTCACAGAAACTTTACTTCAAAGCTACTAAACTTCAATTATTTGCACGCTTGATAGGATCACTTCAATTTGAAATAATTAACCTTATTAATTTCCAGTTTTTAGCAAAACAGAATCTTTTTTCTGTTTTCATATGAATGTACAATAATCGGCATTCTCATTTGATTTTCTGTCGACGGTGATATTTATATAGTCTTTCTTAGTTTAGAGCTTATATTCGTCATAAAACTTTTTGGTGAATTTCTATATGTTCCGTTTAGAATTTCCTCTTTCATATTTTATATTAGGTTATGTAGGTGAGTACAATACTTCATGCTTTTTTGAAATCCTATTTTGTATCGAAATTTATGATTTTAAGTTATTTCGTTATTTGCATTGATATGAGAT